GTCTCAGGGCTTGGCTTTTCTGGGGAAATTGCCTGGTCCTGGTGTCCTGGCCCTGTTTATTCAGACAGGGAGAGTTCAGAGTGGCCGCGCCAAGGGAGTTGGCATGCAACATTGTAATTTACACCATCTATCTCTTTCTGACTCTCAGGCCTCTGGCAAATTGCATGTCTATGTGTTGGATTAGTTTGGAATTTAATCATGCATTATTTTCCCTCCAATTAAATTATTTATATATTTGATTAACGTTTTCACTGCTGGGAAGTCAAATTTTCAATGAAACCACAAATAAATTCGTGCCCATTGAATTTCAGGTCAGCTTCACATAGGATCAATTTGTCTGTTGAATGTTAAGAATTCACTGTGTGTCACTTTTCTTACCTACCTTGGATTTTGGTGAGAAAAAAGAATGTGTGTTTTTTACTTACTCCTAGGAATATGATACGAACAGTGAAGTTTGGTCTAAATGTATGGCCCTCCCTTCCTCGGGGGCCCTTTTATAGCCCAACATCCTGATTTTCAGTCCTTCCTACTGCCTTTTTTTCTCTCACACTGGAATGTACCTCCTTCTAATTTTACTTACTCAGGTTTGAGGGCTCACCTGTCAGATGTTCGTACAAGAAGGAAACAGGACGTCCAGTTTGGGGTTAGCAGTCTTTGGTTCATAGGCCAAATCCAGCTGCTTGTTTCTGTGCAGACTGAGCTAAGAATGGTTTCTGCACAATTAAAAGGTTGAAAAAAAGTCAAAGAATATTTTATGACACATGAAAGTTTTCCACATCCATAAATGATCAGATAACCCATTCATTTACATGTTATCTGTGCTGCTTACAGCCCTGCAAAGCCTAAAATATTCACTGTCTAGCTTTTACAGAAAATGTTTTGCCAACACCTCATCTAATTCATTAGTCTAATTTTACAGATGAGAAAAGCAAGGTCCAATTAGGTGAATTGGCATGTCCAAAGGTATACAACTCTTCAGAAATTGGTCTGAAATTTCTGAAGCGTCCTCCACTACCCTTGAATGCTCTGTCCACTGTGATATAGGCCCTCTGCAGAGGGCCATGCCTTTTTTGTTTTTTGGGAAAGGTCTTGCTCATCCAGATTGGAGTGCAGTAGTGCAATCCTTGCTCACTACAGCTTTGACCCCCTGGGCTCAAGTGACCGTCCTGCCTCAGTCTCCCAAGTAGCTGAGACCACAAGCCCATGCCGCCACACTCTGATTTTTTTTTTTTTTTTTTTTTGTAGAGACATGTCTCGCTATATTGCCCAGGCTAGTCTTGGAGCTCCTAGCCTCAAGTGATCCTCCTGCCTCCACCTCCCAAAATATTGGGATTACTGGTGTGAGCCACCATGTCTAGTCCAATGCAGGTTTTTAAAGGAAAATCAATATTTAGAACACATGCACATGTGAAGTCTGTGAGTTCTTAGGATTTTAATTTTCACTTGAAATATAATTCTAGGAAATACCTTAAGCTTGAAATACATTTGGACAACTTAAACAGGCAGAAAGATGCCTCCTTTTCCCTTATAACAATTGATTACATCCTCTGCGCAGCATTTGGGCGGTGAAGAGGAGGAAGACCGACTTGGCTCCGCATCCTCCTAGGTTGTACAATTTCATTTAGAGAAGAATAACTCTGGTCTCAATGCAAGTTTGAACTTAAGAGCAGTTCCAGAAAATTACAAAAGCATATTAGTTGGGACTCAGGTCAAAGGGGGTGGAAAGCGAACATTCCCAAGATGCTAACCTTACTGAAAATGAGAGTGCTTTAGCCACCCAGCGCAAGTTCCCCCACCCCTCCCCAAATGGAGATAACCAGGGTGTTTATGTCTGCTGACTGGCATGGGATTTCCCACCACTTACATTTCCACACATTGTTTCAGTGGCAAAGGTAGAAGAAGCTGGGCACAATATACATGTGAATGACTGGGATTTTTCCAGGCACAGCCTTCCCCTGCTTGTTGCCAGCTCTCCCTTCCCTATCCTGCGGCAGATCCCTCAACACCGTTGTAGGCAGATTCTGCACCTTCCCAGTCACTTTGGATTACTGAAGTGTGTCCATTTTAAACCTCCAATCTCAGGTCCAATCCAGAGCCTTCCGTTCCCTGTCAGCAGCGAGACACGGGCCTCAAGGGAACTGGCAGGCTGTTTGCCCTCCCTATGCTACCTCACCTAAAGGATCCGGGGCCTGGGTTTGCCTCCAGGAGACGTCTTCCCTTTCTTTCTAGGGTTCAGCTCCTGCAGTGTGTTGGAAGAGACAGAAAAGGAAGCGATGAGTCTTTCTTTGCTGACCACTGCTGGATTCTCTCTCTTGGCCTTCCCTGCTCCCTTGAGTAGCACCAGGTATCCCTGATGCTCTCCTGCAGGAGCAGATTTGCAAGCCTGGCTTTTCCCTGGGGTGTATGTGAGTTTTACCTTGGGGTACTTCCCACATTCTCACTGCTGGAGATGTGCTGGAGACGCACAGCATTTTAGGTGAGCCCTGGCAAGCTAGCCCAAGCTTCTCTACCTCGCTGATGTCCACTTGACCCACAGAAAACTCATGCCTTCTCGCCATGCGAAGCAGTGGCAGTCTCTCCCTGGCCAGTTCTCTCCTGCCATGCGTGGCCCTCACCCTTTCCTCAAAGGCACCAGGCTCTGTGCTTCTGCGGGTGCTTCTGTGTCATCGGTCTGCTGTGGTGTCCCATTCCCCGCCCCCATCCTTCCCTGCACACCTGGTCTGTCTGTACTCATCCTTCCAGTCCTGCAGTAAATGCTGCTCCACTGGAGAAGCAGACCCTGATTGCTGATGCTGCACACTGACGGAGGATCCCATTACATGTTCTGATGAAACCCTGTTATTTCCCTTCATAATGCCTATCACAACTGTAATGGTATAGTAATTTAAGCCATTACTGGTTTCCCTCTGGTAGACTAATTCCTTGGGGCAAGAATCATGTCTGTCATGTTCCCCAGCGCAGGGCCGGGTGTGAGTGGCACCCAGCACATCCTCACGAAAGCATGAGAGAGAACAGGGAGCTAAAAGACATGGATCCTGCCTTAAGCGATCAGCTCAGCACAAATTGTAATTCAGTTTCCCACTTGTAACTTTTCCTGTCTCCCTCATGGGCTCCTTCCTTATTCTTCCCATTCCTTCTCCCTCACTCTCTGCTTGCCTCCCTTGCTTCCTTCCTCTTTTCCCTTCTCTTTCATGTGCCTTAATCCAAGGACCCAAGCTTTGTTTCCAGTAGCTTGGAAAACTGAACCAAGAGCAACTGTGGTTTTGGGCAATCACTTCTTTTTCTCCCGTCTGAGAATCCATAGAACCCCTCTGTGTGATGTGGGCTTGGTTTCAAACGCTGGGCTTCAGCACACATTTGGGAAAGCCCTGGTCTTGTGTGTGGTCTACAGAGATGTACTGGAAGCCGGCATGTGTGGATTGACCGTTGTCCCCTGTCCAGCACATCTGTTCTCTTCCTATACCTGTGTGCATCATCATAACTGTTAAGAAACTCTCACATGGAGCGTGGTTGGCTTTTCATAGGAAACCCGCATCTGTTGGCCGTGGGGTTGCTCCCGCACCACCACCGTTTCTGTGTCATGTTCAGAGCTTCTGACGGGACCCTGGTTGTCTCCTTGTGTGCTGCGATGTACAAATCACTCTCTGCTGTTCATCAGATTTTTCTGGGAGCTGCTCCAAGGAGAGGAGATAGAGAACAACAATTTCTTTTCTCTGTCCTCACCCAGTTTTAAACTCCAGAAACAGCACAGAAAACTTTATTTTTTATAAAACTTTTTTTTCCCTAAAGGAGTAGGCCATCTAGTGGAATAACTGGGAAAGGCCCTCTCTGAGGGCAGAACTTTACCTTCAGACCCACAGCGAACCACCACTTTAGGAGCCCTGGTCTCGGCAGGAAAGTAGTGAGAGGTTGTGTCGCTACCACGCAGGGCATGGAGCCAAAGGGAGCTTTCTCTTATTGAATGAAGTTTTTTGGTCGTATGTGTATTTCTATGTATACTTGAGAAAGTGTTCCCACAAGCCTTAAATTAAGGCAAATAGGCAGAATCACCAGAGAACAAAGACCAAGAGCATCAACCTAGGATACAAATGTCTTCAGTAGTCTATAGCTGGACACTGAAATCATATGCTCATCCTATCAAAATCGATCTTAATTTGATTGAAATTAAGAAGCCTCTCTTCCTCTGGTTCTGCAACAGGTTTCTAATGATTCCCAGTTGTATTACCAAGAAATTAGATAAATGATTCTAAAACCTTGAAATGGTAAGTAATTCAGAGAACTTTATCTTTCTGTTAAAAACTGAATTAAATGGAATTTTAGAGCTAGAAAGGCCCCTAGCAACTAGTGAATCCATTTATTTTCTACGAGAAGAAAACTGAGGCCCTGGAAGACTTCCTCATTTGTTGATAACCACGCAGTTCTCTTCAGGATCCTTCTTTTCTCTGTAATTCTTACTCAGGAAGCAGTCTGATTAACCCTGAGCTCAAGTTAAGTGCTTTTGGTTTTCTTGTTCTGGAACTGTGCGTGTCTGTGTTTGCCTTCCCTGTTTGAAGTCTGAGCCACGGCACTAACCCACGGCCTAGCGCCTGAGAGCTGGAGAATGTCTCTGCAGTTGTTCAGCCTCGATCCCCAGCCTTGACGAGGAAAAATGACAGAGGTTCAGGAAGGTCAACAGTGGCTCACCCCATTTCATAACTCGCTGGTCCCAAACCTGGAACTGAACTCTGCTCTTCAGATGCCCGATGTACTGTGGTATATTTCCTCGGATGCCAGGCTCTGCCCCAGTCATGCCACTCCCACGGGTTAAAAAGCATGCATACACAGTTAGCAGAAGCAGATTTACTTGAGAAGTGTACTAACTAGAATGTTTAAAATTTGTAGTATGGTAAAGTTATTTGTGTAGGATTTAAGATCGGGGCATTTTTTGCCTTTTCTTCTGTTGCCTTCAGAAATGAGGAATACATTTCCATTTCATTTCTCTCTCTTTTTCCAAACTCCAGCATATAAATAATGACCATATCCATGGAGAGAAGAAGGAGTTTGTGTGCAGGTGGCTGGACTGCTCAAGAGAGCAGAAACCCTTCAAAGCCCAGTATATGCTGGTAGTACATATGAGAAGACACACGGGCGAGAAGCCTCACAAATGCACTGTGAGTACAGAAGTGGGCGGCAGGCACACGTGGGTCCTTCCCCATACTCAGAAGAGCTGTGCAAGCTCATGACTCCAGCTCCAGGGAAGCGCAGTTGGGTGGCAGGAGAAGAGGACTGCAGTACTGTCTGGTGATAAATACTTGGGTGTTTGAGTGATTGAGTTGGACAGCACAGCTCTGCGGAGTGGCAAGGGGGCAGCGGTGGCTGGCACAGGGAATGAACACAGAGTCACCCTGCTGGCCGAGGCCCAACAACTTAGGGTATCCTGGGGCTCGGAAGACAAAGGGAAGTGCCAGCTTCCAACTTACAGAGTAGAAGTTGACTTTTAAAACAGCTAATCCCTATACCAGGTTTTAAAGTTTTCCCTTCCTTTCCTAGTGAGTCCTTGGGCACAGCATAGGCGCATGGAATGGGACAGGCCTGCTGCAAGGCTGTGCATTCCTCACTGTGGTGCCCACAAGGCGCACTGGGCACACTGAGCCGTGGTACTTTACATCTTAAAGGCCCTTTACAAGCATGATCAAATTCCATGTCTTTGTATGGACACAAAGCTATATTAATGAACTTTGTGCTGAATCTGAAATCAGTGGGAATTTGAGGAGATCAATGAGCAGATAATGAAACCCATTGTCCACATTGAGCTGTCTATTAAAAAAAACACAAAACTTCAGGACTTTTACTGGCACTGAAAACTCTTTATCTTGAACGGTACCAAGCTACATCTGAATCCCAATAAATGCAGAGTTTAGTGGACTTTTGTTCCTGGGTTTTGAAAAGCTGCTGACCCTTGAAACGTTAGTTTTTCATCAGCTTGGAGGGTGTGTTAGGCATAAGCTGCTGTTGCCATTGTGCAGAGTAATCCAGATTTACCTGTTGTCCTCAGTTTGAAGGTTGCACAAAGGCCTACTCGAGACTAGAAAACTTGAAAACACACTTGAGATCTCACACTGGAGAGAAACCATATGTCTGTGAGCACGAAGGTTGCAACAAGGCTTTCTCAAATGCCTCTGATCGCGCCAAGCACCAAAACAGAACGCATTCCAATGAGGTAAGCAGCCTCCATGGGCACAGAGTTTGCATAGGAAACAAAGAACCATCCCCGGGAAGGCACATGGGAAGGCGTAGTGTGTTCTGTCTTGTTTTCCTCTTGGCCATTCCCAGCATGAGTGGGCTCTTCCCCTGCAGGTGAAGGCTTGGGCTTCCAAGGTGGGACTGAAAACTGGACCTTATTTGGAGAATAATGAGAGATGAAGAGGAAACTTCTTAAAACCCCAGTGAACTTTTTAGTTTGAACTGCCACCTACTGGTCAAATCATTTAACTAGGAATCCGAGCCAGTCACTCTGCCCAAAATAACATGAATCCATGCAAAGGATGACCCCGTAAGCCCCAAGGATATGTTAAGAAGTAGCATGTTGACAGCTGACAGCTTCCTGCTAAGTCGTCCACTTTTATTTGCTTCCTCCAAGTGGGTACCTTCAAATGTATTATATCAAAAAAGAGTTTTACAGAGCAACCAGCCTTGGCTAAATGCAATTTTCACACATTGTAAATTCTTTTTTTTTTTTTTTTTTTTTTTTTTGTGACAGAGTTTCGCTCTTGTTACCCAGGCTGGAGTGCAGTGGCATGATCTCGGCTCACCGCAACCTCTGCCTCCTGGGTTCAGGCAATTCTCCTGCCTCAGCCTCCTGAGTAGCTGGGATTACAGCCACGCGCCACCATGCCCAGCTATTTTTTTGTATTTTTAGTAGAGACGGGGTTTCACCATGTTGACCTGGATGGTCTCGATCTCTTGACCTTGTGATCCACCTGCCTCAGCCTCCCAAAGTGCTGGGATTATAGGCTTGAGCCACTGCGCCTGGCCTCACACATTGTAAATTCTAAAGGAACTTGGAAGATGGTCTCAGAAACCCAGGCTACTTTCTAGGCGGTCATTTAAGACAACATTTTGAATAAAGCTTCAGGGTGGTTCCTGTTGTGTTACTGTTATTTTTAGGTAGTTATCCCCCCTAAATTGTAGAGAGGCATAAGAATGAAAATTATTCCAGATTCATTGCTTACATTAGTGCACATCTTCCTACAGATTTGCAGCTTGGCCTTAGAGGTCTAGCTCAAATTCTAGCTTGTCTGAAACCTTCTCTTTAATGTATCAGGAGATTAACAGAAAGACTCCCCACACTTCGAGTGTAAATAGCATAGCCAACCAGAATTTGTTAACATGAAACATAGTTCACGCTACAAGTGTGTCATCAGTTTGCTTGAAATGTGTTAGAGAAGGAACATTGCACACACATGAGACCTTGGAGTGGCTGTCATTTGATCTCATGAGTACAGGTCAAGCCCATTCGTGATCTTTCAGACAGAGCTGGACAGAGAGAATCTCGATAGAGACAAAGTGAGTCCTGCTCAGTGTTCACTTGGCTTTGAGGTAACAAAGATAGTTCTCACCATGCTTTCTTCAGCTCAAACTGACAGAGCAAAAACATCTCTAAAGGGATTAGCCACGCTCTGTAAAAAGCACACTCAGACTCACACATGTAAGTTCACATATACCAACTTTTGATGTGAAAAGATCATGGAAACTGAAGTTATTTAGAATCTCGTTCTTTTCAACTGTTTGAAGACATTTTAAAGATGCCACATCCCCATTTTTTAATGTAAAAATGCTTTTACGGTATGCAGTAGCTGAAATACAATCTATTATACTTATTTTGTACAAAATTTTAGGGAGTCTAGAACAGACAAATCCATAGAAATAGAAAGTAGATTCGTGGTTGCCGGAAGCAGTGGGGAGAGTGAAGAGCAGTGACTGATGATGGGTACCAGGTTTTTTTGGTTGGGGTGGTGAGGACATTCTGGAATTAGGTAACGGTGATGATTACACAATGTCTAGAATGCTCTAAATGCCACTGAATTATGCAATTTAAAGGGATTACTTTTATGGCATGTGAACTATATTTCAATTTAAATTTTTAAGAGGTTTTGACTTAACTTAGAATGTATTTATCTATTTCATATATTTAAGTATAATTTTGGCTAGAAATTTAGAGGGCATTCATTTCTATAGATGTTAGGCCAATGTTCTCCCCTATTATCATGGAGAAATTTGGCCAGTGGGTATGTTAGGATCAGAATCCACACATATAAAGATAATTACCAAGCTTTTTAATCTTTTTATGGACCTAAAATATTCGCACATGCCTGTGTGCTTTAACTGTAGCAGAGTCGGGCTTGTGTTCTTCTGCAAGGTAAAAAGTGCACTGCTGTGTGAGAGCTGAGTTATCTCTTATCTTGGTCAATAATATTGATCACACTCGAGCAATTTACTTAAATTATTAACCTTGATCATAAATTCATAATTAAAATTCTACCCACAGACATATTTACAAACACATTGTATTTCTTTTTTCTATATATGCAAGGCTTTGGCCCTGTGTATGAATCATGGACATTTTCAGATGCATCAAAATTAAGTTTGTCCAGGAAATCCAGATTTGTGCAATCTTACTATCCTAGATAAGTGATTTGCTTTCGTTTCTTTCCCCTTATGGCAACCTCATTTATTCATTAAGCAAATACTGATAGCTCATTATGTGTCAAGCCCTTTGCTATTCTAAGTGTGGCCAAGAAAATAATGGACTGGAACAGGAAAGGGGTAATTTCTGGCACTTCTCTGTGCCTCTGGCTGTCCTGTTCATTTAGGGCTGCTAGACCAACCATAGCTCTCACAGGACTTCTTACTCCAGATCACACAGCTCATTTTTACCCCAAAGATACCACTAAACAAGTTTCCTGAGTTCTGATTCAGCTGAACCTCCCTGTCTAGAAAGCTGCAATGGCTCCCTCTTTCCTGTAGGGAAACTTGAGACTCACTCCCTAAGCTTGTATAAGTGCCTGTTCCTGCAGGACCCAAGCTGACCCCTCCAGACCTGAGCTCTCACTATCGTGACCATGAATGAAACCTTCCAGAAGCCGCTGCTGTGGACTGTCATGCTCGGGTGCATGAAGTGTCTCTGCCACTGGGCGTTTGCTGAGCACACTTCTTTTTGGCATCCCAAGTAAAATGACTCCTAATCAAAGCCCTGTACATTGAGTGCTTACTACGTTCCATGCATCCTGGTAAGCACTTCATGTATAGGATCTAATTTAATGCTTACCAATAACCGTGTGAGGTTATCTGGGCTTAATGCCCAGATATAGAATCTCAATAACTGATGCTTCCCATTATGATCTCAGCTCACCCTCTTCTGTCTCTACCCTTACATAGGATCCACACTTTATATTACAGATCATTGCATCTTCTTATTTTTCTTACTGGATTTTGTATTCTTATGATTAAATCTTGTCATATGCAACTTTGCGCTTGCAGAATCTTGTACCTCAGTAAATCTGAGAACATTTTTCTTAGCCCCTAATCATATTTCAGTCACTGATCACAACAAAAGTTGTGGGCAAAAGCTATGTGAAGGGTTAATATACATTGTTTATGTTGTGTCGTTGTGAGGTACACATTTCCTGAACCTGTACTCTTGTGAGGTTTTGTGGGTAATGTGTCTGTTCACACCCAAGGACACCTGGGCACAGGTGCACTTCTAAAGGCTATTGTTTCTGGAAGAGCAAGAGCTGCCACATTTGTATACTCATTATGCACTGGCTGCGTCCTTAGTTCTAGGCTAACCCATGATGTACATGCATATATTTATAGGAAGAGTAGCTCTTCAAACATGCAGACTTTGTGCTCCCTCTCTCCTTCTGGTCTCCACACTTCTGCCCCATATGTCCCAGTCTGCCTGCTGATGGTGTAACCTGTCACAGCAATGCTGTGAACATCAAGCAGAGGGCCTGGGTCAGAACACTGTAAGGTAATGGCACTAATTGTCAGAGCCATTCTTCTGTCCCTAATGCATAGCATTTGATGTGCTCATCTCATTTTATATATAGATATCTATATATACTGCAAATCACACAAGCTCCTGAATAGATGTAATTCATAGTTAATGGGAATCAGTTCTACCCAAAGGAATCTCAAGTTTGGAGGTAAAACCTCTCAGGATAATTTTCAGGATCTTTGCTTCACTGCATTAGGACATTTCAGCATTTTAGGCAGCACTCAGGCTGTTCTTGGGCTTTTAGTGAAAAAGCATCTTTTAGACATACATTCTACAAGACACAGCATCATTTTAAATATAATAAGTACATTATATTAATCCTGCTTTTCATGACAATTGCTTACGTAAAAGCTCATCCTCTGCTGTATGTAGATATAAATATATATTCATGAAAACATCCTTTCATATATTATATCTCAAGCCAAGTGGACAAACTCACATGTGAGTGTGATGTTGGTCATGAGCAAGGGCCAGCAGTTCTGTGATTTGAGAAAGTATTTCACTGACATAAGCATTCACATAATTATTTATGACTGCATCCTCAGGCTTCATCACTGACCCACACAGAAAATGAGATTAGCGTGAAATTATTTATAGACCTTAGTTATAAAGCTCAGGAGAAGAACACAGACCAGAAATCCTGGTTCCCAAAACATCTGTCAGCCCTCTGAAGTTTGGGATGAGGGTTCACGGACAGTCTATAATAGGTCTTTCCAGCTTGGAAGATCAGAAAGCTTCTGGCTATTTTGAGCCCTGAATATCTCCACACTTGTAATGCTACCCAAAGGAGAAGCACATTTTAGTGTAATCTAACATGGGAGAGGCCATAGGCAATTTGAAAATGATGCCTATGCATAAATAGCACATTTTCAAAAGGATCACAGTGATATTCTGTCTCAGAACCAGGACATCCATAAGAAATTTTGTCACACAACCTCTTCTGAAAGGTGTACAGTCTTCTGATTAGATGATGGGTATCTTTTAAGCCATCTTCATTGTCATCATCGCCATCAAATATCTATCAGGTGCCTCTGATGGCACCATGATACTTCTCACTCACAGTATAAATGCTTCCGAGAACATCAAGGCAATTTACACATTCTCAGTTCTCCCTGAGCCCCTCTCTCTCAAGCCATCACCTATTAAACCTAGATTCTATGGACAGAGAATTGTGTTCTAATGGCCTTATTAAACCGTTAATTCCTAGAGGTATCTGAACACCTCAAAGCCTTGTGAAAGTGTTTTGAAAGGATTAAAAGTGTAATGAGCAACCATAAAGGACTTTCGGGCTGGGGCGTAATCACTTTCATAACAGTCTCTTACCTCATTCTTGTGGCATTTGGCAGAAACCATATGTGTGCAAAATCCCGGGCTGCACTAAGCGTTACACAGACCCAAGCTCCCTCCGGAAACACGTGAAGACAGTGCACGGCCCAGAGGCTCATGTCACCAAGAAGCAGCGAGGAGATATCCATCCTCGGCCCCCACCCCCGAGAGATTCCGGCAGCCATTCACAGTCCAGGTCGCCTGGCAGGCTGACTCAGGGAGCCCTCGGTGAGCAGCAGGACCTCAGCAACACTACCTCAAAGCGGGAAGAATGCCTCCAGGTGAAAACCGTCAAGGCAGAGAAGCCCATGGTATGTCATTCCCTCGCCTTCTGACTTCACAGCAGGCCCGGGGTCATTTAAAAGAGCGAGGTAGGGTGCATAGAGGGACAGGACTTCCCCAGTCCTCACTGTGTCAGGCTGCCTCTCACCTGAGGAGGTCATGAGGGCAGTGACCTGGACTGCTTACTTGAAGTTGATTAGCTCAGAAAAAGAGTTTCCAGGTTGCCTAACTGATTTTTAAAATCCCTCCCAGAGCCATACCACTGTGCCATGGAAGGAAGAAAGACACGACTGTCTGTCTCTCCAGCGTGTCTGTAATGTCAAAAATCATTCACTGAGTCTTCTTGTAAACATGCTCTGTCTTCTTTGCCCTGGTGACCCCAAGGTAAATAAACCACAGCCCGTATTCTTTAGGGGTTTACAGTCCAATGGGATAGACAGACTGAAAAACAAATACCATGCAGTGTGATGGGGGCTTACACACAAGTCTGTGTAAAGAGGATTCAAGAGAGGGTGAACTGCCAGTCAGTCGGGGCGGAGGAGGCTATGGGGTGGGAGTTCCGTGCTCCAGAGGGAAGAGCTAAGGAGGTGGGGGTGGGGGAGGAGCACAGGGGTGGGAGGGGATGGGCACAGCAGGGGTGAGTTTTTTTGTTTGTTTTTTGAGGAAACCACTGCAGTACCAGTCTAGAGATTGGGTAAACTGGAGATCACTTCTCCAGCTGGGCCTGAACCAGCGAGGCAGAGCACAAGGGAGGGATCTGAAAGGTTCAGTAGGCAAACATCTCTCTGTTTGGTGACTAATAGGACATGTGGGTTCTGCTATTCGTTCAGCTTCTTTCAAACCTCAGTTGGCGACTCTGCTTCATGAATGTGATTTTGTAAAACACCTAAAAATTTCAAAGACAACAAGAAAAATAAAAAGAGTAGATAGTAGAGGAGATTCGGCCCATTTGGTCATGCATAGAATGGATTTAATTGTGCAGATATATTGGGTTCTGGGCTGTCACTCTCTAACCTAAGTGTACCAGAGAGAAATTTCATGCTCAGATTCCCAGATGCACGGAAATGATCAGGCAGACAGAATTATACTTAAAGCAAGCATTTTCTTAAAATTAGAGCAGTCTGTCAATTGGATGGGCAGCCTATGAATTCCCGAGTGATGGTGCTGTATAGCAGTACGTGTGGGTGGGAAGTAATGTACAACGTCACCATCGGGAGGGTGGGAGGCTATATTTTAATGACTTGCTGAGTTTATCTTTGAACTCTTAAGAGTCTTAGAGAGTGACATTAAGTCTAGCCAAAAATAACACAAATTGGCTATTCAGATTTTTCATTATTACTCAGTGGGTAGCTGTTCTTTGTTTTAAAAAAGTATCTTAATAAAATGTTTATACATACATTATGATTGAGCACTGTATTTTAATCAGTTTGTAAACTGTGTTTTATATACTTTTTTGGAGGGGAGCCTGTATAAAATAAAAATAAATTTATAAAAATAAATCCTACCTGTATAATAATGGTACAGAGCATTCAACAGTTTATGCTCAAGTGTTTAACAAAGCAAGGAGAGTTGATTTGAAGTGTCTGAGATTATATCATGAAAAACCGATGATTCGTGTTCTTGGGACATTCTAAGAACAGAGTCTCTTCTACTTTTAGTGTACATTCCTAGCTCAAGAAAATTGTTATTTTCTGTTCAAACACCCATTGCTTAAAAAGAAAATTGGTAGAAATAAAACATTATGCAAATTTGGCCCAGCAACATTGAGATGCCCCAATGTGTGAAGTATTTTATAAAGTAATTCAGTCATATTAGGTTGATGCAAAAGTAATTGTGGCTTTTGCCATTAAAAGTAATGATGGCTGGGTGCGGTGGCTCAAGCCTGTAATCCCAGCACTTTGGGAGGTTGAGGCGGGTGGATCACAAGTTCGAGAGATCGAGACCATCCTGGTCAACATGGTGAAACCCCGTCTCTACTAAAAATACAAAAAAAATTAGCTCGGCATGGTGGCGCGTGCCTGTAATCCCAGCTACTCAGGAGGCAGAGGCAGGAGAATTGCCTGAACCCAGGAGGCGGAGGTTGTGGTGAGCCGAGATTGTGCCATTGCACTCCAGCCTGGGTAACAAGAGTGAAACTCCGTCTCAAAAAACAATAAATAAATAAAAAGTAATGACAAGACCGGCAATTACTTTTGCACCAACCTAGAACCATATAAAAGGAACCATAGAGAGCCAGACCAGACCTATATTTTGAGTAAACCGAGGCTCGGTGATATTAATAATTACATTTCCGCAGCAGATGTTAAATGCGTATATGCTCATGCACGTTTATAAAAGTAGGTATCTTCATAGACATTTACTAATAAACATGAAATTGACATTTCTAGTTTTCTTTAAAAACACGTCTTTGATTTGATCATCATGCTATAAATTAAATTCTTTCTTCTTTTTTCTTATTAATGCAACATCTCTTCTGTCTAATGCTCCTAAATGTCTTGTTCTCACTTCCTAAGGACAGTGGGTAATAAGGTGAGGGAATTTTGGCTTCTCTGTCCTTTTCATTTTGTTTTCATTTTTAAACATTTACTTTTTTGTGTTAATTTTTCTTTAGTCTTTGTGGTTTTGTGATATCTTTGGTAGTGAACATTACTCAGATATGTTTCGAATATAGAAGCAATGTGTTTTGAACATTCAGCATGTGAAAAAATGTGGAGTTAGTTGGTGAAATTCATTGTTCTATCTGTCTAGGTTTCCATTACAGATCACACTGGGGCCTACCAAGCAGATGTTCTGAAAGACTCATTATTGTACTGACTAGTGCAAATTCATGCAGACGTGCACCACCTTCTTTGAGGAAGATCTGGCCTCATTTGTTAGCAGTGTAACGTCTATTTAAGTGTGGAAGCTCATTCAAGCAGTTTCCTAATTGCGAGTGCATTTGTGCCTTCTTATGTGCTCTGCGGAAGTATGTCTGCCTGTGTGTTTGCACGAACGCAGATTCGTGTCCACACACTCTGATTTGATGGTCCAGGAGTAAGAGGCATCCAAAGCTCTGGAAACAACAAGTACCTCAGGAAGGAGCAGGTGGTCTGGCAATCCAGCACTCTTCCGAGCCCCAAAATTAAGCAGGGTTCATATACTCGTGATCAAATTTGTATATCTTATTTCGCTCTGCTTGGTTGCCCAGAACAAAGTTAGTGTACCATGCAGCACTCACTTAGAAAGTGTTCATTTGCTTGGGTGTATGTACTGTGATGGCAGAAGAAGCGAATGGGTTCTACTGCGAGGAGCCCTTCCTGGTGGCACTGCACGTTCCACCTGCTACTACAGTGCTCTGTAACTGAGTGTAGTCACGTGTCCCTCAAGCACTCTCCCTTCTAGCTGCTGTCAGTGTTTATAGTAACACTGGTGAAGGTGCTGTAGACGCATGGAAGGAGCTGTCCTAGGAGTCCAGGTAGTCGCACCATGCACTTTGTGACTTTGGGCAGCCACTGAACTTCTCTGAACATCACTTTGCTTATCTGTACAAAAAGCATTTGACTGTTAATCAACCAGGACACCGCTGGAACTTCAGATACAGCATTTGTGTTGTGTGACTGTCCTGTGCAGTATAGGCCGTTTTATGTAGTAATCCCTAGACTTTCCACCTGAATTCCCAGGAGCCCTGGGAACGAGAGGAGGCAGTACGTTCCCTGACTGAGGACCGGTAGACTACACTAACATTCCACTGTTTGCAGCATTGTCTTACAGAGTCTACTTGGTTGGGGTTAGGGAATGATTTCCTAATCCTCCTAGTGAACTGTTAGCGAGTACACTAAGAGGAATGGTGAAATCATTCTATAGACTCATGACGGCTGTGATCTGCAGCCTGGGTATCTTTATTTCTGGGTATAGCACAGGCTAAGTGACTGAAGTTTTACCTCTCTCAGCTGCTTTTGCTGACACCTTGGTTGAGGTTCTACAAAAGCAGGAAACTGTGGAAGGAGGGAGGAGAGGCTACAAAGAACTTGGCTAACCGTGAACAGCCTGTAGGGGCTCCTGGTGGAGAAGGCAATATGGCTGATGACGCATATCTTACATTTATGTTTCAGCTGAGCAAAATGAACCTAAAGACTAAAACCACCTGGGATCGTAATAATTGCTAACACCCTGTGAGCCAATTTCTATTATCCAGGTCTTTTTATATCTGGGAGCTCTCTGGGTTTCACACTTAATTCCTGACAACAATCCCTGAAATTAATGGTCCCCGTTCTATAGATAAGGAAACTGAGGTTTAGAGTGGCTAAGTGATGTGCCCGAAGAATAAAGTGGTGGAGGTGGGGTTGGAACTAAGAAATGTGTTTTCAGAGTTGGCGATTAGGGCAGGATTTCATGGCTGATACCATGCCAGTGACACTGCAGCTAGCATACTAGGCTGTCCATTGCCTCCCAGTGCCCATTAGCCTGGTCCATCAGTCATTTTGGCCAAAAGAGGCCAGCTCCATTCACCAGAACATAGTTTTTCTTCTCATTCAACCAACAGATGATCTTGAAAATCTTGACATGCATGAGTTCTCGTTATTGGCTCCCTTTCCTTGACCCTCCCTGGTGACATTTCTTTCCTTTCCACTTGACCCCAACAGACATCTCAGCCAAGCCCTGGTGGTCAGGCTTCATGCAGCAGCCAGCAGTCCCCCATCAGCAACTATTCCAACAGTGGGCTCGAGCTTCCTCTGACCGACGGAGGTAGTATAGGAGACCTCGGTGCCATCGATGAAACCCCAATCATGGACTCGACCATTTCCACTGCAACCACAGCCCTCGCTTTGCAAGGCAGGAGAAACCCGGCAGGGACCAAGTGGATGGAGCACGTAAAACTAGAAAGGCTAAAACAAGTGAATGGAATGTTTCCGCGACTGAACCCCATTCTACCCCCTAAAGCCCCTGCAGTCTCTCCTCTCATAGGAAATGGTGAGTTCCACATCAGACCATGCATCTGCTCAGGGTTCTTTTTTCTGTTCTTTTAAACGCAGACTCTCAGTTTTATGTTTGCCAGTTTCTCCACCAGTCCTAAAATGAAGCCGTAACCATCTGTTAATGCTCAGCCCATTGAAGTTGCCTTTTTGGATGGTCCATATTTTAAAAACAGCTAGGAAGTGGATATTATTGAAAAAAAGAAGTGACTGTGCATGACTCATATTCTGATGGTGAAATCGTAACTGTTAGACTAGGGTAAGAGAATGCTGCAGTAGAGGCAGCTGTGCTTGCCACTCTGTCTCTAGTTTCCAGAATTTAAAAACAGGAGGTGGCTGGGCACGGTGGCTCAGGCCTGTAATCCCAGCACTTTGGGAGGCCGAGGCGGGTGGATCACAAGCTCAAGAGATTAAGACCATCCTGGTCAACATGGTGAAACCCCGTCTCTACTAAAAAAATACAAAAATTAGCTGGGCATGGTGGCACACGCCTGTAGTCCCAGCTACTTGGGAGGCTGAGGCAGGAGAACTGCTTGAACCCAGGAGGCGGAGGTTGCGGTGAGCCGAGATCACGACATTGCACTCCAGCCTGGGTAACAAGAACGAAACTCGGTCTCAAAAACAAAAAAACAGGAGGTTAGCAGCCACTTTTATTTATATTTGTCCCGTTCAAGAAAAGGCCAAAATCCCTCCCTCTTGTCAGTCCACAGGTCACTTTGTGCTTCTGAGATTATACTTCTGAAAGCACCTGAGGGTGAAGCGCACCCCTGCACCAACCCAGGTGTTCCCTGTTGATAGGATGTGGCATGAACAGGACGCCCTGAGCATGAATGTGAAACTCATGGAATACCTTTGCCTGGGGACTTGGCTAGAACTCAAGCGTTGTGTACACATCCCAAGATTCTTTTTGTCCTTGTGCTGTGCTTGGGGAGGGACTTCACCGACTTGAGGGAGTTCATCGCCAGCCACCCCCCGTTTTTATAAAGAAAGCTTCATAGGCACCCAGCTATGCCTGCTCTCTCACTGCTGTCTGTGGCTACGTTGGGGCTACACTGCAGAGCTGAGTAGTTGTGAGGCCCACAGTGTGGCCTGGGACACCAAAACTGGTTTCTAGCTGGCCCTTTACAAAAAAGGGCTACCGCATGCCTGGTGTAAGTCATCCTCGAAGGGAATTCATCTCCGCACCCTCTCTCCCTTTCTCTGTCTCCAGGCACACAGTCCAACAACACCTGCAGCTTGGGTGGGCCCATGACACTTCTCCCGGGCAGAAGCGACCTCTCTGGGGTGGACGTCACCATGCTGAACATGCTCAACAGGAGGGACAGCAGCGCCAGCACCATCAGCTCGGCCTACCTGAGCAGCCGCCGCTCCTCGGGGATCTCGCCCTGCTTCTCCAGCCGCCGCTCCAGCGAGGCGTCGCAGGCCGAGGGCCGGCCGCAGAACGTGAGTGTGGCCGACTCCTACGACCCGATCTCCACTGACGCCTCGCGCCGCTCCAGCGAGGCCAGCCAGGGCGACGGCCTGCCCAGCCTGCTCAGCCTCACGCCCGCCCAGCAGTACCGCCTCAAGGCCAAGTACGCGGCGGCCACGGGCGGACCACCGCCCACGCCCCTGCCCAACATGGAGAGGATGAGCCTGAAGACGCGCCTGGCGCTGCTCGGGGAACCCCTCGAGCCCGGCGTGGCCCTGCCTCCCGTCCACGTCCCGAGGAGGTGCAGCGACGGGGGAGCCCACGGCTACGGGCGGCGCCATCTGCAGCCGCACGACGCACCGGGCCATGGGGTGAGGAGAGCCAGCGACCCCGTGCGCACGGGCTCCGAGGGCCTGGCCCTGCCCCGGGTGCCGCGATTCAGCAGCCTCAGCAGCTGCAACCCCCAGGCGATGGCCCAGTCCACGGAGAAGCGCAGCCTCGTGCTTCAGAATTACACACGGCCCGAGGGCGGCCAGCCCCGAAACTTCCACTCGTCCCCGTGTCCTCCTAGCATCACCGAGAATGTCACCCTGGAGTCCCTGAGCATGGACGCTGATGCCAACTTGAACGATGAGGATTTCCTGCCGGACGACGTGGTGCAGTATTTAAATTCCCAGAATCAAGCAGGGTACGAGCAGCACTTCCCGAGCGCCCTCCCGGATGAGAGCAAAGTGCCGCACGGGCCCGGTGACTTTGACACGCCCGGCCTGCCAGACAGCCACGCGGGCCAGCAGTTCCATGCCCTCGAGCAGCCCTGCCCCGAGGGCAGCAAAACGGACCAGCCCATCCAGTGGAATGAGGTCAGCTCCGGAAGCGCCGACCTGTCCTCCTCCAAGCTCAAGTGTGGCCCGCGGCCCGCCATGCCTCAGACTCGCGCCTTTGGGTTCTGCAATGGCATGGTGGTACACCCACAGAACCCTCTGAGGAGCGGGCCCGCTGGGGGCTATCTCGGGGAGAACAGCAGCCCCTATGGTGGCCCAGAGCACGTGGTACTGCACAGCAGCCCCGGAAGTGGCACCAGTGGAAATGCCTTCCATGAACAGCCCTACAAGGCCCTGCAGTATGGAAACTGTCTCAACAGGCAGCCAGTGGCCCCTGGTGCGCTAGACGCTGCCTGTGGGGCAGGGATTCAAGCCTCAAAGCTGAAAAGTACCCCCATGCAAGGGAGCGGGGCCCCGCTGAATTTCAGCCTGCCAGTAGTGCCAAATGAGTCAGCTGGCAGCACGGTAAATGGCATGCAGACCCAGGACCCGGTGGGACAGGGGTACCTGGCTCACCAGCTCCTTGGCAACAGCATGCAGCACCAGGGGGCAGGCCGTCCCGGTCAGCAGATGCTTGGGCAGGTTAGTGCTACCTCACATATCAACATCTATCAAGGTCCAGAGAGCTGCCTGCCAGGGGCTCACGGCATGGGCAGCCAGCCGTCAAGCTTGGCAGTTGTCAGGGGCTACCAGCCATGTGCCAGCTTTGGGGGCAGCAGGTGCCAGGCTGTGCCAAGGGGCAGCCTTGCTCTGCAGTCAGGGCAGCTCAGTGACACAAGTCAGACCTGCAGGGTGAATGGCATCAAGATGGAGATGAAAGGGCAGCCCCATCCTCTGTGCTCTAATCTGCAGAATTACTCTGGTCAGTTCTATGACCAAACCGTGGGCTTCAGTCAGCAAGACACGAAAGCTGGTTCATTCTCCATTTCAGACGCCAGCTGCCTGCTACAGGGGACCAGCGCCAAAAACTCTGAGTTACTTTCCCCAGGTGCTAATCAGGTGACAAGCACAGTGGACAGCCTCGACAGCCATGACCTGGAAGGGGTACAGATTGATTTCGATGCCATCATAGATGATGGGGACCACTCCAGCCTGATGTCAGGGGCCCTGAGCCCAAGTATCATTCAGAACCTTTCCCATAGCTCCTCCCGTCTCACCACGCCTCGGGCATCCCTCCCGTTCCCAGCGCTGTCCATGAGCACCACCAACATGGCTATCGGGGACATGAGTTCTTTGCTGACCTCCCTAGCGGAAGAAAGCAAATTCCTTGCAGTTATGCAATAGGCTTTAGGAAAGAAAAGGACTGCAACAAACATAAATCTATAGAAGTCGAAAAGATTAAACTGACTTTGTTTTGGCTGTTTTTTTTTTTTTTTTTTTTTTTTTAGTTCTGTATGTATGTTAGCAATCTCATCTCACCTACCTGGGATGTGTTTCAAATATATTCCTTTTATGGAAAAGGACTCTGAAAAACCCTAAAGTATTCTAGGGAGAAACTGTCTTCCATTTCAGTTTTGAATCAGTATTGTTACACTCAAACCACCCTCTTTTTTTAAAACAAACAAACAAACAAACTGTAAGCCCGCCCCCTTTTTTAGTAAACCAATGTAAATGTGTGATGTGCATATTCTTTCGTTTAGAAGAGCAGTCAAATTAAAGGATTTGACATGTTTTGCTGTTGCTCAAAGGAAATAGGAGTTGGTGTGCTTGTGACCAAGGAGTTAAACGCTTCCAGCTTTTAAAATTCTCCTTTACATGTGCTCCATGTTTCGTTTTGTGTTTTGATTTCTGTTTTTTATTTTAATTCCCACATTGGGCACAAGAATCAGAATATGGATAGTGAGTTTAAGAATCTTTTGTGGTGCACTGTAGCATAGTTGGCAGAATACACATGTTCTCCCCATCCCCAATTCAGTTCAGGACACTCTTTCCACAGTTACACGGAAGTGGGAACGTGGGGCTCTTGCAGATGAAACAGGCGCTCACAGTTTCGGTTTTCAGCTCTTGGTGTTCGTAAGTGTGCTTTGGGGGAGGCTGTGTCTGTATGGCCGGTTCTCAGTGACCACATGTGCCTCTCCTCCCACTACCTTCATGAATATTCACTGCTGTTTAACACGCCAGAGAGAAGGGACAGGCAGTTGGTGACACTCAGCCACGTTGCTACTTCTATCTGTTCTGGTAAGGAATTAGAGAGCTTGTAGATTGAAGCAATTGGGTAAAATTAGTTGGGGGAATATTTGTGGGTTTGTTGTATTTGCTGATTAGTTCCATCTCTTTCCATTGTAACTGAGAATGGATGATATATAGCTCTAAGTATATAGGTATTTAAACAACCCCACAAGCAGCTGTATCAGTAACATTTATTAATTCCGCTACAGTGAAGGAGAATTTCTATTCTAAATACCTTATTTTGAGGGATTTATAAAACTTAGTTGTAAAAGAGAAAGCCCACACAGTGGGAATAAATTGCTTCAGCCATTTTTAGTGTTTTGAGAGCCCTAGGGAAGGTGTTTAGTAGCTGTGTGGATGCGTTTTTTCACATCCTGTCTATTGAATGCTGCATCCATTGACGAAGTTAAATGTTACATGCGGTTAGTCCGTCATGTGGACTAGATCTGTACTTCTGTTTTGGATTAAAACATTTAAAGATTTTTGAAGTGCAGCTGTGCCCCAAGGTCATACTGTGTGTGCAAAGAGTACATGGATTTTCCAGCATATTGCTTTAAAAAACATATAAACTATTAAAATATGAACACCTGGGGCTACCTGCTGTATTCTGTTCCATTGACCCCCGGAATTGGATTTATTGGAAGTGATTGATAATTCAATTATGTGGCTTTTCCCCTTTATTCCTCCCATTTCAATTACAGCAGAAGGACAAAATCAAGTAAAATAAAATGTTAGATAATAGTGTTAGGACCCGCCCACTTTTCTCATGTTTATGTTGCTTTCATTTGAACCAAGAATCTCTGCATGGAGGTTGATTTGCCGTTGGGGACTTTGGCTAAGACTGCTGGGTTTGCTTTCAACTGGATGTTCCTGAGATGAGCAGAGGGATGCCGCAATTCCCCCTCCATGCCTGCTTGTCCTCCTCCATGTAAGTCGTCTTTGAAATTAAAGGATGTGTCTCCTTTGGAACAGCCCCAGAACAAAAGAGAATGAGTGATCTAAGCTTAGGAGAGTAGAGGCTCTACACTTTTCGGCTGAAAAAGCAAGGCTTTCTCTGTGTTTCTGAAACAGGACATGATGTTGTCACAAAATCAGAGATCCAGTCTCACTTTTCCACGAATCTCCTTATCTCTAGGTCCTGGTCTTATCTGGTGTGCTCTAATGGTTTGGCTCAATCCCTTTCCAACCCTTGTTTTCAAAGCATGGGGCCTGAGTGTTCTCCACTCCTGAGCAAGGAGCTTGGATGGAAGGCACCATGCGGACCTCCTCCATCCGTGGGCTCTCCCAGTAGTATTCTTGGATGCAACTGCATTTCTCAGTTACTATCATTTCCTGCACCAGCTTCGTCCTTCGTGGAGGGACGAATGTGATCAGGCCCACCACTGTTGTCTTGTGCTTCTGCTCCTTCCTGTGGTTTCAGGTCATTTTCTGGGTTTCCCCCATTTTTTTTCTTATTTGCTTCCCTTGCTATTGCTTTTAGATTTGCAGGAGATGCAAGTTTCAGCTGAATGGTTGGCTTCTCTCAATATGGAAATTTCAGGATGGAGGAGAGGAGGGAGGGAAGAAGAAAGTAACTCCTCCAGAATTTCAATGATCTGTCGTGGCAGTCCAGTGGAAGGAAGGTCTTTTGAGGTCACTTAGAAGCATCCTTTTGGGCATCTTTGGGGATCTCTGTAGGCTAGGCATCTCATATCTTGAGACCCCTTCCCAGCCTCTCTCAATTTCTCTAACCTATGTATTTAGAGCGAGAGGACCGCCTCACTAGTGTCACCATCCTGCCTTTTATAAAAAATGCAGGCTCACACCTGGTACTCCTACTTAATGTATGTGTCAAACTTTTTATTTTTCTAACCATTTTTGTTTTATTTTTCTGAAAAAGTTAACCCCTCCCAGCTCCTCACACATTGGCTCTTCCTCTTGAGCCACAAAGTTTTGATTCTTACGATATATGTGCCTTATTTTATGTTCATCTTGTCGATGAGAGGGACCAGTTGGTGTTGCCCAATCAGCACTCCAAGGCTGTGCATGCACTGGCCAGAGAGTGCGCGATGGTAGCAGAGTCAGGGCTGTCTTGTGTCCTGGATTCCTGTGTTGTTTTGAACTGATAAGAGGATGTTCTCTTTTGACAAGTTACCCTTGTGTATCCTGCAGATGTGTAAAATAAAATACAAGTTCATTTTTTTCACCTTTTTTAGATTTTTAAAAAATAAAATGTGTAATCCTTTTTTAAAAGAAACACATGTAAATACATTTAAGTATTGTAGGCATAGCGTTCTGAAGTGACTGGCCCAGGCGTTCCTCGGACAAGCCTGCGGTCCCGGTGATCTTGCCCACCTCAAGCCCGGGGCTGCAGCCCAGCCACAGATGAACTCTACCTTTGCTTTCAGAACCACTTAGTCCTTTTGTAACAAAGAAAAAAAATGTTTCTTACAATGTCAATAAAAAATTCTTTGTACGGAAATTCTTATTGGGTTGTTTATTAAATTCATAGTTGAATGGAAAGAGTGCTTTCTTTGAAAACATCCAGAGCCTGTAGTTGGATCCTGACCCCCCCACGTACGAGCTGAATGGACTTTTGCTGTGAGATCCAGATTCTTTAGCTGTAAACTGGACAATAAGATGCAGATACATACATGCCCATGGTGTTGTGAGGATGTTTACCGGGAGGGGGCGGGCACACTGGTTGGAACCATTATTGTGTTTCTTACTTGTATTGCTTTGCCGCATTCAGTGAGGAAGGACGGTGATGGAGTTTAATGTCTAACAACCTAATTTGTCCCTCTTTTTTATCTTATCCTCTCATTTCAGAAATGCCCTAGCACAGGTCAACAGAAACTTCTGACATGATAAAAGCCTACTTTATGTGGCTTTTAATAATTGACGTCGGTCAGAATAAGTTCTCCCATGTTTTTTCTGTCGGTATGCAATATTGTTCTCCAGATCACCGTAAACCACTCCAAAAGCCTTCCCTTCTTCTAAGTAGTAGCACATGTCTTTTGAGCCGTCAGTTGAGGGCAGTGTTTCTGGGAAGAACGAGAGTCCTGGCTGTGGATATCTCAAGACTGCAAGGATGGACGCATACATGTGTACGTGGAAACACACACGTGTATACACGTTTTCCCCAGGCCTAATGTCCTGTGGGGGATGTATTGTTCCCTGCCCTCCAACAGGGTTTCTTCAGCCATAGGAATTCTTCATGCTTTCCTGATTCTCAGGGGAGAATTTCCTCCCATCCAATCCAAGAGGCTTTGCTTTTATAACTAGATCCAAGGTATCCAAATGAATCCAGGAAAAAAATGAGAAAAAATATAAACTTATAAATTCATATTCAGGTATAAATTGTCGGCTCAAAAAGAGACCTGCCATACAGCAAATCAAAATAAAAGAAATGAGAGAAATTAGGCTAAGAGAGAGGAAACATAGGGAAGGGATGCCCCCAGGAATGAGGTGGATGACATGGGCTCCTTCAATCCACAGGAGCGGGATGGATGGGGCTCCCAGCTTTGTAAAAATGCCTTTTGCAGAGGAAATACAAAGGAAGCAGAGTTTGAGGTAAAATAAGTGGAGTTACAATAATCTGTTGTTTTATGAATCTCTCCTTTGAGTAATTTTGGGAATGTAAAGACAATTATATCGTACCCAAACAAGAATATAATAGAATGCTAAAATGATGGGAAAATTTACCTACTGCCAAAATGTCTTATTTGTCCTTTTTTTCTCCTCCCAGGTTTTCTACTTATTTTCTTGGCATTCTTCCTTTTGGTTTGACTTTAGAGTGTATTTACTATTCCAAACACAGTCTGGGCACGGCTTTCCTCTCATATCAGCCTTTACTTTCTAAAATCTCATTTTACTAACATAGACCTCATTTTACTAACATATGCCTTTTCTACCCATTCAACCTGACAATTTTTCAAAAAAGTAATAGACTAAATTGCTTTCAGGCTTTTTTCTTTTTCTTTATATGTATATTTTATTGCATTTTAGGTTTTGGGGTACATGTGAAGAGCATGCAAGATAGTTGCATAGGTGCATACATGGCAGTGTGATTTGCTGCCTTCCTCCCCATCACCTATATCTGGCATTTCTCCCCATGCTATCCCTCCCCAACTCCCCACCCCACACTGTCCCTCCCCTAGTTTCCTCCCACAGACCCCAGCATGTGATGCTCCGCTTCCTGTGCCCATGTGTTCTCATTGTTCAACACCTGCCTATGAGTGAGAACATGTGGTGTTTGATTTTCTGTTCTTGTGTCAGTTTGCTGAGAATGATGGTTTCCAGGTTCATCCATGTCCCTACAAAGGACACAAACTCATCGTTTTTTATGGCTGCATAGTATTCCATGGTGTATATGTGTCACATTTTCCCTGTCCAGTCTATCATCGATGGGCATTTGGGTTGGTTCCAAGTCTTTGCTACTGTAAACAATGCTGCAATAAACATTCATGTGCATGTGTCCTTATAATAGAATGATTTATAATCCTTTGGATATAGGCTTTTTTCTTTGTATACATTTTGTGGCCACAGACTGGCCCACACTTACCCAACAGAGGTATGGAAATTCCGTTCTATAACTTTTCTCCCCTCTCCCCAAATCTCGAAGTTCACACACTGCTCCCACCTTTCCTCAGCACCCAGTGGTAGGTTATCATGACCCCTGCCTTCAAAGACCTTGCACTGTCTGGAACATAAGGCAGTGATGACATGTTTCATTAATTCAGCCATGCTGCCTGAGTATCTAATATTCCAGTCATATTCTCTTATAGGGACTGGAGATGAGGAGATGAATAAAATGGTTCATATCCATGAGCTCCCAGCCCAGTGGGAGAGACAGACATGGAAACAGGATGCAATGGCAACTCATAATGGAAGATGTTCAAGGGGAAGTTCAGCTCGGGGCACTGTCCACCTGACGTGCCTATGGCAGAGCTTCTTAGACATGCTACTGTTGGCATTCAGGGCTGGATAATTCGTTGTTGTAGGGGACTGTGTTAAATACTATAGAATGTTTAGTAGTGTCCCTGGCCGGTACCCACTAGATACCAGCAGCATCCCACCAAGTTGTGACAGCTAAAAACATCTCCAAACATTGTCACACGTCCTGTGGCAAGGGTACGGGGGAGACATTGCTGCAGACTGAGAACCGCTGGTTTATGGAATGAAAATGCAAGGAGAGACATTCTGCAGGCAGGGGCCCAGAGGGAGATCCCAGTACAGGCCCAGACTCGGTAGCCTTTGGTCTGCAGGTGACAGATGAAGAAAGGGTAACAGTGTCATTGCCAGGCACAGGGGTAGCAGGAATAGAGGACTGAGGAAGAAATCCTGAGGATCACTGGCCCCAGGGACCAAGAGACTCCAAGGCCTGCATCAGAAAGGTTGGAGAGGAGAGGAGAGGGAGAGACAGCAGAGATGGTGTGCTCTGGGAACAGGGAGGTCGATTCTAGAAGGCTTCTGTCAAAAACACCATCCGGGTAAGTAAAACACAGACAGGAAAAGACAAGTTTTAAGAATTAGGAGACCCTGGACAACCATAGGCAAGCATTTCTCAGTAACATGGTTGGGAAGAGAAACCAGAATACAATAGATTAGAATTAAGTGACACCTGAAAATAAATGGGGAATGCAGTGGCCCCTTTCAAGCAGCATACCGCATTTCACCTCCTCCAAGTCACCTTCCACAGTAAGACACAACGTACTCCATGTTCCCACTAAGAAAGAACACGCACTGCTCATTAACTACGACATGGTGCTTTTCAGTCTCTAACAGGCAAGCTCCAATTTTAGTAGTTAACAAGTTGGAAAAAAAAAATGCATTACCTTGGAGGGTATGAAAGACATTATTTCCCAAGGAACGGAAAGAGATAGCGGATCAAGGAGGGGTGGAGAGGAGGAAAGCTTGAACTTTTCTTGTAACTGTTTCTCTTTCTTCCTCTCTCTCCTCCTCCACGGAAGAGGCTTGGCTGTGCTAGTTGGCCAATAGAAAGAGGGGCAGCAGAGTGGCTGTGCTAGTTGGCCAATAGGAAAGAGGCAGCAGAGTGGCTGTTGCTAGTTGGCCAATAGGAACGAGGCAGCAGAGTGGCTGTTGCTAGTTGGCCAATAGGAACGAGGCAGCAGAGTGGCTGTGGTTAGATGGCCAATAGGAAAGAGGCAGCAGAGTGGACAGGGTAGATGGTCCAGTGAACAGAGCCGGCATGGCAACTCCCGGGACCCATGAGATAGCCTGTCCTGGGTGATGAAGCAGTGGGTCAGGACCAGGGGAAGACCGAGTGACATGCTGGATTGGCCGTAGGTCAAGCAACTCACTGAATGCAAAGGTGACTTAGACCTGTGAAGACAGTACCGTCTGGCAATGCATCAGGAAGGGCCCCGAGCCTGCCCAGGGCCTCTGAACTGAATGGGGAGTGAGGAAGTGGTTGGAAGGTGGAACAGGAAGCATGAAGCACTCCCCGAAGCAGCCCGGGATCACGCATCAGTGCCCACTGCCGAGTTCCTGCAGGACCTGGGTTCAATAGACGGGGGGCCAGTCTCAGGGATGGTGGGGGAAGATTATTTTTATCTTTTCAGGGAGAATAATTCTGTAAAATACCCTTTGGCAATGACAGGAGTGGCATGCAATGAGGGTGCTGGAGAAGGGCTGGAGGTGGGTGGGGTGGAGAGAGTGCCCTTGGAATCTCCCAGGGCTCACCGCTGCCCTGCTGCTGGGTTTCTGAAGTGGCTAGGCCCCCCTTCCATTCTGCAAGTTCCTACTTCCTTCCTGTAGGAAGAAAGCAGGATAGTGGGCAAGGGAGGGTGCAGCGATCAGGAATAATGCACTCTTCCCTCAGCTTCGCCCCAGCCCCCAGGAGGCCGGTTCCAGCCTGGCCCCTGAAGAGGAAGACTGAGCACAGAGGTGGGATGCTGGGGAGAACTGGGACCAAGGAACAGGACTTACCATCACCAGCTCTTCACCAAGTAAAGAGGGAACTGTATGTGGAATTCCCCATGAGCAGTTCATGGACCTAGCTTTTTTCCCTTTTGCTTTACAGGAATATTGTTATGAAGTACCAGGCTAATTTGCTCATTGGTACCTTGACCTCCCACCCTGCCACAGCTCTGTGGCGCTCAGCTCACATTTCCCTCCTGCTCTTGGTTTCCTTTCTCCTACTTGGGTCTTCCCAGGCTGTGGCTGAGTGGTTGCAGTGAGAAGTGGCCCAGCAAGTCTGTTAACCCCACTGGAAGGAGCAGCAGCAGTGCCAAAGCACTGGCCAGCCTCACCCAGGGGCCCTCCATTTGGGACCAAGGCCTGCTACTAACTTGGGGAAGCATTTGCCATGCCTGGGTAGGGGAATGACTTTGCTCTCTTCCTGTGCTGCTTCGGCCTTTGTTCTCATACCCCATCTAAAGAAAGAGCCTCTAGTCACTCCAGTTGGAAGCAACTAAAACCTGATCACATCCCTACTTTTGAAAAAGATCCAGCCTTAGA